TCAGAGGATGTTGCTTGATATTTTAACTTTCTTAATCCTCACCAGGGGATATGCTTGTTGATTTTAGAGAGAGAGGGACAGAGGAAGTGAGAGAGAGAGACATTGATGTGAGAGAGAAACAATGATCTCATCTCGACCGGGAATTGAACCCGCAACTTTTTGGTTACAGGGCGATATTCCAACCAACTGAGCCACGCAGCCAGGGCTGTTGCTTGATATTTTAAACTCACAAGAATTTAGTCCGGAAAGGGCCTTTGCTCACGTGACCACACATAGACAGCTGACTCTGCCTCCCCACTGCCTTCTTCCTTTAATAACACTGATTTCTATCAGTCAAATGGCACTTCTTATAATTGTGTAGCATTTTAATTAGCAGTTTCCTATTAAAAAATCAACAAAGGTCAACTGCTAATGTGAGATTTCGGAGGTAGTGTGTTACACAGACATTGATATATAAAGATGTCTCTGTCTAGACCAAAGTTGAAATTTTAAAAGTCAGTAAACTTGAGTAAAGTTGAAATCTAGAAAAAGAAGCAGTATGTTTATTACTTGGGGGAACTAGTGAATGCTAATACCCAAATCTCATCTCAGTAGGAAGGGCAGGGAACAGCCTTCTGAAACGCCTTGACTCGTTGAATGCCACGTGCGTGTAAAGGCGCCCAGAGCTGCACCAGGGCAGAAGCTGCACCGTGCCAGGGTTAGAACCATTTCTGCCTTTACCTCCTCATGTTCCTATTATTCTGATGAAATCCTTGCCTAATAGTCTTCCGTGACAAATGCAACTAGTGACCGTGGAGCACTGCATTGTATTCATTCAAACAACAACATACAGGAGGTCGAGGAAACCTTTTCACGCAAAACCCAAAAGTCTGAAATCGCACGTAAACCTGGAAAAAATGCTCTACAGGATGGTAGCTATATAAGGTCGTTCAGAGGAACAAGAGGCAACAAGTGGTGATGAGTTCAAACACTCATCACCCATACCCCCAATTTAGATCTTATCTTACATTTTACATTGTAGTTAGTGCTTTAAACCTGGAAGAATATAATACGTAAGCCAACATTGATGATTTGTAAATGTTCCTTAGAAAGCACTGCAGTTATTCTAGAAAAGTTTTTTTTTTTAAATGAAAACTTGGTTTTATTTTTCAGGTAGATATATAAAGGCATAGAAACTTAAGAGTAATTCCAGTGAACAAAGCAATGAAAAAAATATGGTGATTTAGGCAAAAGCATGGAGATGAAGGACTACACTTTCTAGACACTGCATTCTCACAGTGGCCAAATGAATAAAGATAATGAAGTAACGGTGTTACATGTTTATGTCATTTTATGTTACTCAAAGATATGTTCTTATCACTAGTGTGAAAAGAAGCTAAACTCTATTCACAATTCAGCATGTCCACCTATACTTTATAAGCATCTTAATTCTACAATATTTTCGATCAAGCAGTACAAGAGTACAGAACATTATTATAAATCATGGACACCTATGTTGATTATAATGATTCCTAATTACAATGTGGACTCTACCAATTTGGAATATTATTGCAATGAAGCTGTGATTTTTTTTAATACCGTACCAGAAAAACCAACATAACAAGTAAAACTGCTAAATTATTTTTATTTGACTTTCTCTTGTAAGTCCATGTATTTCAACTTTATATGTATTTTAGTAGTAAGCTTGAATGACTTAAAACGTTTTGTGAATCTGAATATTTACTAACTAAAAACGATAGGCTCACCCACCTGCCTCCCATCCACAAGCATGATTACAAGTGCAGGCAACTTCCATTCCGTTTTCCCAGCATGCACAGAGGCCTTAAATGATGCCTCGGGGTTGCTCTGACGATGATATAATCAATACCTAGTCCTGGTAGGTTAATTAGACACGTCGTCTCCCTGACAAAACTATGCATTCTGTGATGCCATTTAACAAACTCGCCTACCTTATCACCAAACAGCAATTCCCTCTAACTGGTTACTGTAATGTAAACATAAAAACAGAGGCATTCAGAGGAAACAGATTTTTATTTAATATATTATAGATCATATGAATTATATACATAAAAGAGAATCTTAGGAAGCATCTTGCTTCCTAAGTAGCACCTTGCAAAAAGGATTTAAAACATACTTTAATTCACTCTGTGGATGTGGTTTGATCTCTTTCCTTAGTAACAACCAGAATAGCGGGTACAACCGATTGGGGGGATGGATGTACATACAAGTGTGGATATATTACATATGCATATGTATTATATCTGCATATGTATGTAATATGTATGCATATATAATATTCATAATGATAGAATTCCAAAAGTCTAGCAAATTAGCCATAATAGTAAAGAGACTACAATGAAAGTGCTCTGTGAAGAAGTCCGGAGGAAAGAAGAAGTGGACGAGCGAACAGGACTCCACCAGCGTACCAGCTGACAGTGGGAGGGGTCAGCAGGGAGGTCAGGGAAGTGTCCGCAGCTCTGAGGAGGGCTCTGACTCCGGAGCTCCACCCGGGAAGAGCACAGGGAACCAGCTGTTCCCGTAAATGCTCTGAGTGAGAGATGAGAAACACTGAACTGCCCTGGAAAAAGAGGCAAGTTCCAAGTGTTCTGGAGCTCTTTGCACAACACGTACTTGGTGCGTCCCAGAAGCGTTTGCTGAAACTGGAGTGAGGCCGCCAGGACAGCGGGCTCTGCCTGTCCCTCCCCTGCCTCCACGGCCGTCATCGTCTCTTCTGCCCCGGGACTGGCCTCCCCTCCCCAGATCACCACGGTAGAGATGTTTTCCTTCTCCTCCGTGTCAGTCACTGACAGTGTGGTTATCACCGTCATCCAGAAAGGAATATCGTGGTTGCCTTTAACTTTTCGGAAAAAGGAAGTATTTCTTTTTTTTTTTTAAACAATGTGAAGTTTGCTCGACCGTGTAGAGTGGTAGATTCAGCCATGGAATCTCTCCCAGGTCTGACGCAGTCCACAAAACAGAGCATCATTTTCTTGTGAACCGTCCTCCAACTTGGCTGCACCAGCTAACCTGTTTGCGGAGACACCTCATGAATCCAGACATAAAGACCTGTGAGCTAACAACATAAAAACGAGTGCCAAGTCTCCTTGCATGTGCATGAGTACAACTAGAAAGTGCTCATTTTACTTTCTTCCCTTCTGAAACAGACAGGGACACTCCCAGTTCCTGTAATCCACAGAATAATTGCACTATTTAGGATGCACGGTATTGAAAGCTAAAATCATAAAATCTCCAACAACTGGCTTAAACCTGTCAAGTGCGGCTGGGAACCGGTGTAGACACCAGGAGAGCTGGGTTGTGGTCCACTTGCAGACTACCATGAAGTGTACTGTTTCCGTGCTGTGGTGCAGTTTGCACGACGAGTCTTTCAGGAGTGAGTCATCGGTACTTGAGACAGGAACAAGCACTATACTTGGTACCTTGATTTAGCCTCAGAAATACTTTTCAATGTCTGCCTCCACCTAGAATTCAGATGACGGCAGGCTGGTCTCTAGTGGGTCTGCAGTGATGTCACCGGTGTCGTCTTTGGCCAAACTGGGAAGCAGGACGAGTTTCTCTCTGCATCTTCCCTCCCTTCAGTCCCCCCCTTCTTTTCCATCCCCCACAATGCCCTCCCCCCTCTCATTCTTCTGCGTGACCACACTATACCACCACGCCGTTCTTTCTCTCATATTCAAGTGTCACACCATTATTTTTAAAGAGCTAATATTGCCTATGTGCCTGCTCCTTTTGAGAAACTACATATATTAAAATAACCCTAAAAAGTGGGAAAATTCGATACTAACATTAAATTATTACTGGACCATCTACCACACTTGCTCATAAGGTTAGGCCAGCGATAGCGGCAAGAATTCCACACAGACTCAGAGATAGATTTGTTGGAGAGCAAAAAGGGGAGGCATTTCCCTTTCACACGCATCTCCCTCTTGAGCATTCATGTATTCTACTGTCAGAGACTCTCGAGAAGTATGCTGATACAGCAGATTCTCCAGTGGGCGAGAGAGCTGACTGAGATCCCCCAGCAGGTTCTCTTCGTGGCTGACCAACGGGAGCTGTCTCGGAATGTCGCTGTGGGCCCCATTTGCTGCCGACCAGCTGGCTTCGGAGCTCCCCTTCCCCCCTCTCACAGGTCTCTGAATCCCCCAGCAGCTGTGTTTTGGCCCCACCCCTAGCGCCAGAGGCCAGCAGCTCGGTGACTGAAGTCATTCCGTCCTTCCTGGCCATGAGACCCGTTTAATGATAGACACATCACCCAATGCATCTGCTCTAGGACATAAGTAAACTCCCCACCAGCCAGAAACAAGGATGACGAAATGCCAGCGTTGCTGGCAGCACTCTTGGGAAGCAGAAGGGCAAGGCCAAATGGAAGTCAGGCTGGCACCGCTGCAGGGAGTCCGACCTCATGGCAGGGAGTCCGGCCTCATGGAAGGGAGTCCAGAAGCTGGCCTACGCCCATACTTGGTTCAGACTCAGCCCGGAAGCCCTGGCCAAGAGCCCTCGTCTGCGGCTTGACCCCCCTGGATGGTTCCGTTACAGGAGTCAGCGCGTTGCCGTTGGTGTCTGAGCTGATCAGAGGCAGGTTTGCTGCGACACTTCTGCTGCCATCGTTCTCTTTAGGTGACGCAGGTCGCCAACCCCAGGGAGAGCGAGCAGGCAGATGCGGCAATTCTCCCTCCATGGCCGGCAGGAGCTGGGGCAGCAGGGGCAGCGGCCCCGGGGCAGGACTGACTGACGGGGCCCTCCGTGCCCTAGCACAGGCCCGGGATGGGCGAAAGCAGAGGACTCTGGACATCTCCAGACCGACAAGGGCCTGACCCTTCAAGTACGAGGTGATGAGACCATGGACAGAAGAATTGCCCTTAATATCCTGTTTTGTTAATAAACCCCAAATTGTGTGTATGTCTTTTAACTTTAAGAAATTAGTACATAGGCTTCTGTTACTTATCAGGCAGAGACTGTATATGCAAACGTAGCACGGGTCATCCTTTTTCCAGTGTTTTATTGGGGAATTAAATAGTGTGATATTTGAATTGAAAAAATAAAATAAAATAAAATATATTCAGTCAAGTGGTATCCGGGGTAGACACAGAGTAGTGAGAAGAAACTGTATAAAGATCCATGTACATAACAGTCATCGTAAGTTCGATCGGGCCAAGGAGCAAGCTCAGACTCGAGCCTTCGGTCTGTGGGAGAAGGTGGGGAAGTTGACGTACACGTCCTCTCCTGCACCATCGGGCTCCTGGGTGGGGAAGGGGGGGCTTCGGTAGTTGTTGGATGCCTAGAACGACAGGCAGAGAGGGTGTCAGTAACTCACTGCACTTCGGCACAGAGACACCAGAAGCAAGTGCCTCCCCCCGCTCGACTGTATTATAGGTTAGAACATTCTCTTCACTCAGTTGCACTTCTGTGAGTGACCACGTTCCTGGCCCGCAGGGCTGCGGGTGAGACACGACGGAAGCACAGCCTGCGTCACCACTTGCGGTGCTGGGTTCCCGAGACGCCCGCTCAGGGCAGCACCCCCTTCCCCGGTGTGAGGCTGCTTTGATGAGAACAATTATTCTCACTTTCTGTATGAAAAGTCGAGTATCCTAGTATTTTCCCATAGTGGGCACCCATTAATTTCTGTTGAATGAATGGCATCCAAGACAATACTTTTTTTTTAATTTATTGATTTATTTGAGAGAGAGACAAACATCAACGTTGGTGTTCCATTTATTTCTGCATGCATTGGTTGATTCTTGTATATGACCTGACTGGGAATCGAACCTGAAATCTTGGCATATTCGGTTAATGCCCTAGCCGACTGAGCTCCCTGGCCAGAGCCCAGAGACAATACTTTTAAAGACCACAGTGTCCTGGCTTAAAAATAAGTCATGGAACACACTTAAAGAAATGAGCAAAATAAACTGAGATTCACTTTCAAGATGATGTTATACTAGTGTTCGAGTGGTTTTGGTGTTTGCAAAAGGAAGCAAAGGAAAGTTCAGGTGTCATTGTTAACTATTTAGCCTGTCCAAAAAAAAAAAAAACCAAGGAGGTCTAACTTCATCTTAATATCAACTTAAAATGTCACTTTTTAATCATCATTCAAAATAACACTATTCTACAAAAGCCTGAAGAAGTTGAACACCCAATGCAGGAAGTCGCAAAGCTCCTTTCCTCCTCGGAAATTCACAGCGATGAGTCTGCTCTGGGTTGGCTCGAATGGGTGACAGCAAAAGACAAAGGACAGATCCAGAAAGTGCGTAAGACGGTGCACTGTTCAGGTGCGTAGCTGCGGCAGGTAACAAAAAGCGAGACGTCTGGGGTCTTTGCCAGGGGTGCCGAAAAGTAAGCCATTAATTACTCAGGAAGAAAACTTTGTTCTGCGAAGAGTAATCATGTAGTAGAAGCAAAAAGTTACGCTGGGAGATCGTGAAGAAGTAGCACACACACTGTGCTGTCAGAAACGTTTTAGTGCTTGACGCGTTGGTGGGGCAGAGTGTAACGATGGATGATCACGTTGAAGAGAAATGGATGTAACTCTAGATGACACTTGGAGATGTGATCTACTGTAAAGTTTCCTAAACGGAAGAGTATGTGGTACGGAGAGTATCTGACCTATTGTGGAGACGGCGAGCACGGAAACGAGCAGTGCTCTTATCTGCAAAGGTAGATGCAACCTTCCGCTCTTTTGGGTGAACAAGGGGAGCAGGATCCAGGCAGAGTGAGGAGGAAAAGCCCACAGTTCATCAGGCTCCTGCAGACTCCTGCAGACCCTCCAAAAGCTCATTAGCTTTATAATCTGAGAGCCTATTAATTAATAAATTATCAAAAGGTAATAATGATCATGCACATCATGCATTGTGTCCTTGATTCTTGCATCATTTGAGTCTTCTATGTAGTTGGACTTCATTTAATCCTCGCAATAACCTCATGGCATAAAAGTATTATGCCCTGTACAGGGTCAGATAGTGTCCCCCCACATTTATGGGCTTCCCAGGCCTTCATGATGTGACTCGGTGTGGAAATAGTGTTGTTGCACAAACACACACACACAGGGCAGAAGGCCAGGTGAGGACAGAGGCAGAGACTGGAGTGGTGGGGCCCCACGCCAAGGACAGCCAGGGAGTGCCAGAAGCCAGCAGACACTCAGGGGGGAGCGTGGACCAGACTCTCATCCCAAGAAGGATCGCGTCCTGCTGAGACCTTGATTTTAGGCTCCAACCCTCCAGACCTGTGAGAGAATAGATTTCTGTTGTTTTAAATCACCCCCTTTGGGAATTTGGTTGCGGCATCCCTTAGGAAATGAATACAGATTTCGGTAATGCACAGTGTTGATTATTATTATGCTGGTGTCATTATTCTTTTATTGATATTAATGTAAAACAAACAGCTTCAAAGGGTATTGATAATAGGAGAATAGTTCAGAAAAGAACTGTTTCATCAAATGGCTGGTCCTCGAACCACAGGCAGTTGCATGGCCAGGTGGTTGAAAGGAGAGTAAATAAGAAGATTGCTAATTGCCAAATGGACGGAGTTTGCAAAACACTGATGATGCACAAAGGGGCCGGGAATGACAAACTCGGAGACAACTTACCTTACTCTTTGTTTCCTGGGGCTCCTTACACTGGAATCTTTTCTTTCTCCTGGAAGTACATGTTCAACAGAGGGATTAAGAATTACATTCCAGACTGGTTTTATTTCAAATCCTCTGTATGCCTCATCTATACCCCAGCTTCCATGACCTCCCTAAACACGTTGAAGCAGCTACCCACACTTGCTTTATACATACTTACCCAAAATTCCATTGACCTAAATTTTTGTTTTATTTTCTTACCATCTCAGTGTGCTCACCAGTGGCAGAGTCAACTAAATGGATGTCTGGCCAGTGTACATTAGTCATGCACCTCAGTGAGTTCACTAAAGAATGGTTCACAGCGGCTTATCAGATAAATGGCTTATAGCCGTCTCCAGGTCATTTCAGAGTTAGAGATTTCCCACAATTAAAACTTCCTTATAAATGTTAACAGAGTAACTTCTTGAGCTTTATAAAATCTTCTAAGTGTTTTATTAAACCACCTAGGTGCTCTGCGCCTTACTAGTGATCTGCATGTCTAAAGCTCAGTCCCCTCGCCCGTCAAATCCAGCAAGTGCACTGGCTCGTTCCAGGCTGCCCGGCCGTTCTGGCTGGTGGCTTCTAAAGAGTTTCCCAGGGGTGAGCTCATGTTAGTGCTGGAACTTGGACAATCCCGGGCAGAGCAGACACCCCACCTGTTGCGAGCATCCACGTGGGGGACAGATGCAAAAACAAGTGTCCAGCACTTTGCTCACTGAAGCTGAAGTTGCTCCCTACAAACACAGGTGCCAGTGGGCAGGCGGACTGTCGTGCACGCCGGGGCTGGGCACTCGCGCCAGCCGTGGCCGCTTAGTGGCGTCCCGCTCCTGCTCTACGAGGGACGGGGGGTCCACGAGGGCTCCGAGAGCCTCTGTGGCTGAGCTCCTGGTGGGGTTCACGGGAGGACTCAGGGCCCTTCGGGCCCACTGGGGTTGACTGTGGCTTCCATCCAAATCAGCGCATGCGAAGCCACCGGAGTGTGGTCCACAGTCACGAGGACAGAGATCAGAAGGTCACTGCGTAGCCCTGGCAGCGTCTTCCCAAACATGTCCCTTCCAAGGAACAGCACTCACTGACGTAGTGGCAAGGTGGACAGAGCAAGTACCTGTTCCTTGTGTTTGGCTGTGATTACACATTCCAGTCCACTAATCTTCTTTTTATCACGTCTAACCAAGTGGAACAGCACATCCCACAGCTCCATTTAGCTATTCGTGTAACAGGGATGCATTTTCATGAGAGTAAATCCTGGGTGTCCAACCTCTGCGACCTTCCGGAGACCCGCTGCCACTCAGCTGTCTGAGCCCCGTGTGTTCCTGTGGCCACATGGCTCCTCGGTGCAATTTGTTATCAGCCAGAGTGACACGGTGGAGACATCCTCAGTGTTACAGACACCCGGGGACCCTCGCCTCAACCGGCCAATGTCTGGCCCGAGGAGGGGAGGGCAGCGGGCTGAGAGGAAGGAGGAACGACAGTTCTGCATTTCAGTGTAATTAGACAAATGCTTTTTGACTGTCCCTTCTTTGGGAAGATTAGTGCTAAGTGCTATCAAACTAAAAGATGCACATAGCGTAACCCCGCCAACATGAACACAAAGACAAACACGGGAGTGACCGAACCAGAAAGCAGGCTGCCAGGTGTGGCAGATGAGAAGCGTGTGGGGCTCGGGGTGGGGCCCCGGGTCTCTTTGCAGGGGGAGGGGGGGTGCAGGACAGACCCCCACAGGTGACACGTGCCCCACAGCTGACCCACAGGATTAAGGCCAAAGGTGGGGGAACAGCATTCTGGTGGCAGATCAATGGGAAGAGAGTCGAGTGTGTTCACAGAATAAAGGCTGCGGCTTTCATGAACTTTGTCAGCATCGTGGCAGCAGGAGAAGGAGAAGCAGGAAGGAGAAGGAGGCTGGCGGGGTCAGAAAGACAGCACCCACACGTCCTACCGCCAACACGTCCTACCGCTGCTCTGGTGGCGGTGGAACGGTAGCCCGGGGCTTTGAACCGAGAGATGACTTGGCCAGTCTTGGCTTTCAGGAAAGGAACCAGGAAAAATCAGGCGCATTGGAAAGAGGGGAGACAGCTCTGAGCAGGCAGGCGGACTGGGGAGCGTGCCTAAAAGCTGGGGAGCAGTGCCCAGAACCTCCAAAGAGGCAGAGGCTGAGGAGACGGAGGCGAGTTGGAGGAACCCCTGCAGATCCACTCAATAAGCCATGCATGCATGTGTGTGTGTATATGTGTATGCATGCATGCATGTGTACAAGTGTGTATGTGTGCACATGTATGCAAGCACACGCATGCATTTCTGGTGATATTCTGGGGTAGAGAAGAGGGGGCATAGACGGGTTTATCTACTCGATAAACGTAAATAAAGTGTCTGTGATGTGCTAGACATGCAAAATGTAGGCATCAAACGTGAGGTCCCTTCCTCTCTGAGGAGGGTAGCAGTTCCGCCGGAACGCAGTGCAGGGGCGGGGTCCCAGCGAAGACGGCAACAGACCCTGGGACGAGCGCGTGCGTGAACACGGAGAGCCAGGAAGGGAAGAACGAGCCCGCCAAGAGTGTCCTGGAAGCTTCCAAGGGCGCCACGGACGGCAGCAGGTGGGAATCTAAGAGGCAACAGCCACCTGCTCACTCTGAGATCGCCCCTCCCAACCCCTTCCTTCCTGGATAATTGTTAATAAAGCACCCACATTGCTCATTTCAGAAAATAGACAACTGTCCCAATCTCATTGTTTCCTTGTTAGAATGTGTGTTTTGTCACATCTTGTTCCCACTGTCACAGTCAGGATCTGGTGAAGGATAAATGAGGGCATTATTACTGTTCAACCCTGCTCTTACCCTCCTTGAAATCTCTCGGAATCTCTCTCTCTCTCACACACACATGTGCACACACACACACACACACACACACACGCTCGTACCACCTCGCCCAGTGGCCTTTATGCCAGCAGGAGAAGGAAGATGGATGGGGGAGGAGACAGAGCAGAGGCACCGGGCAGTTGGCTGCCCGGATACAGAAGCTTTGTTAATATGGGGCAGGTGGCCAGCTCCTACTGATTATTGAGTGAGCTCTCCTGCCTTCTCCTCCAGTACTACAATTCCTCCCTGTCCTCTGTGTACGAGCAGCACTCCACACTACGGGAGTGCTAAGACAGCTTGAGTAACGACGGGGTTATTAATAACAGAGAAACCCGCACGTCAGGATCGCTCAGGGTGAACAGGATTCGGGAGAAGAAGCAATGCTCACCTGTTATAAACAATGACAATGGCGGTGGCAATTAGGATAACAAACAGCAGCAATAAAACTGACCCTCCAGCCGTGAAGAGGATATAGTGGTTAACGGTTTTATCTAGGAGAAAAAATATATATATATAGTAGAAATTAGGAATTCAGCTAAAGCCAGCAAAACGGAAGGGAGAAAAATGAAGTACAGGTACATTAATCATCACAGGGGAACCCTTTAAAACAAACCACAAAACCAAGAAAAAATAGGACGAGATCAAAAAAAGATTATTTTTCTTTCAGAGTCTCCTAAATAATTCTGCCTCTCACAGATTTGTATTCGTTCCTTGACCCCTGCGTTTAGGTTGGACGCCTTTGGGTAAGAATGAAAAGAATGCACATCCCATTCGAGCTAGATACCACTTCGCTCTAATGAGCTCCCGGGACCAAACGTAAAATCTTTGTAGAAAAAAATAACGATCTAAATTGCATACGAATAAAGATGGCCTCTTAAGTCTCATACGTATGTGCATTAAGTACATTTAAGACACAACGGTACGTGACTTTGATGTTTATAAGTAGCATTGCGTCTAAGAAGTATTTTCTACTCAGCTGGGGTTCATGATAAAAAATAATCAGTAAATGTGTGTTACTCCAACTCATCCCTCCCCGTGGCCCGCCCGGGAATGTGAAACTCTCATCCTCGTTCTTCCACTAGCAAAGTTTTTTTTTTTGTTTTTTTTTTACCTCCAGCACACTCTCACACTCCTCCTCCGCACGCCTTTCTTGCTCTGTCCACTAACCCAGAACTGTGGTAAGGCTCGGTGACACTCCACAGTAGCAAACCCCTGGGGAAAGGTCACCTCCGGAGCATGGCCCCATGAGCTCAGAGAGTGTTTTACCCTCACACCGCCCTCCAGCCCAGGCGCACCCCGCCCTCCGCCCCCCACAGTCCCGTGCCCGGAGACAAAGCTCCACCTCTTCGTGCTGTTGTTGGGAGTGGGACTGCCCCGAACCCAGGAGCTGCCAGCCAGCCACCTCTCTTGGGGACAGCCAACAGGCCGGCAGGACCCCAGGCAGCAGGACTTTCCACCTCTAGAAACTAAAGCCCAAACGTTTGTCCTGGGATGCAGGGCGTCCGGCCTGCTGTGGGAACAGGAACATCAGCTTTCCTCTGGATTTGTAACAACCTTACAGGTTATTTCTTTCTTCCTAGTCCACTGTTTAGCGGCCCCTTTTTTCACGACAACAGCTCACAGTCCACTCATTCTCTCAAGCATTACTGCAAAGAAAAGCTCAGTCAAACAGTAAACATTCCTTTTATGTTTTAAATTTGTTCAATCCAGAAGGCGAAGGAAAGTATAAAAGCAGCTGAATGCTTTAAAGACTTTGTGCATGGAGTCTGAGTGTGGGCTCTTGTGCAACGATGCTGGGCAGGGGGAAGGCAAAACTCATTCAGAACAAAATTATACTGAACCACCACTACAAAAAGAACAATAAAGTTTTCTCCCCCAAAATAAAAAATATCAACATTTTAAAGCTCTTGGCACATTATAAAAATACAATACCTGAAATTATTTTGCATTATAACCCGGGACTATAAAAGGATTATACTTGCTATACCTGAACTAATTTGACTATAATAGCTGCTGAGGTTAAATAAAAGAGGCAATCATAGCAAGAACATAGGAGTTATTGTCAAAGTCATTGGCCATATTCTGAAAGAACTGTTTACCTACTTTTTAAAAATGTTTTTAAGTATTTGTTACAGTAAAAAAAAATCTGGGTAAACTAGAGATCTAATTTTTATCTAAATGTGAGAAGAAAATATAAGTAAATCTCTGGAAGGAGCAATGACTTTCCCTTAATAAAAGTAAATAAATATACAGGCTTGAGCCAGTCAAAATGAAAAATAACTATAGGTTGAATTATATGTGATGATATGTAAAGACGAATAAAAACCCGGTGAGTAGCTGTAACGTGTCCCTACCCTCAAGGGAAAGGGACAGGAGACGGTGCGAGGGATGCAGCTTGACAAAGAAGTTCCTCAAGAGCCAGTGTGTCTGAAAGGACGTGTGTGGTGAGCGGGCCCAGCTCCATTCGAGGAGGAAAAGCTGCTCCAGCTTGCAACAAAAAAAAAGAAATCGGTCTGTGTCACGCCCTTTCACTAGGTGCTTGCACCTTCGATGCATTACTTTAGTCTAAAGAAATACTCGGAACTGTGAAACGTTTATAACAGGAACAAGAAAATCCTTGTTTCTCAGCAGTAGACCAACTAACAAGAGTGTGCAGCTGGGGCCGTCAGACTTGATCTGCGGCAGGATCGGGGGTGGGGGGTGAGGGGATGAGGGGGTCGGGGTGGGGGGGGTGGGAAGGGCTGTCCGCCCCCAGGTCGCCGAGCCCTCCCCTCCAAGTTTCCAGGTGTGACGGTGCAGGACTGGGTGGGTCCCAGAATCAGCAGCCGTCACGGATGCCTCAATGCTGGCGTGGGGCCCACTCTTTGGAAGTCACAGCTATAGACAGTAGAATGATGAGTGTCAAGAATTCCAGTGAAATGAAAAGCTACTGACAAGAGAGAGCAAGTTAAATAACGTTTTTAAACCAGAATTCACAGCGGCGCGTGTTGGAAGATCTCAGTGGAGTGTGGAGCTCCCTGGAAAACAAGCCTACTAGGCAGCAACACGCCGAAATTTTAAAGTGACAATCTTCAGGGAAAAGAGTTAAAAACAATGGTTTCTTTAGGCTTTTTGGTCTGCTTAAGGGAATTTTCCAACGAATGGAGGTATTGCTTTCAGTGATCAGAAAAAAAAATAGCACCCAATTTAAAGGTCTGTGTGCTGAAACCAGAATAATCTGCCAAAATTTAGAGGTTCTATTTCAAGCGCAGCGTGCAGAGAGCGTCTCTGCAGAAGTGTGCACAGAGCCCTGGAGGACGAAGGCGGCATTTTTATGAAGCTCTGCACTGGATGAATGCAGAAGCAGAAGCCACGGAGACATGTGGCCCTGGTTCCACACGGCAGTGCACAGACAGGAGTGGATGCTCTGGGGGGCTGACGGGCAGTCCTGACATTCACTGTTGCCAGAATGCTGCTAGCAGATCCTGGCCGGGAAATGTCAGCCCCCCTCTTAAAGAAACCAGAATGATGGTCTATTCTCAGCAGCCGCTACTTTGCTGATTTTTCTTTCTGCCTCTGTCACAATGCTGAGCTGATTCTTAGGAAGACGAAAGTGTCCTGAACCATAACGTAACTGTTTCCCCTCCCACCACGGAGGATAAATACAGCCCAAACAAACGGCCAGTGGGATACATAAGTGAACAATTCACTCCAGGGCTGTAACCTCCGGGGCGAGTACGCACGGCAACTCCAGCTGAGGTTGGAAGAAGCTGGCTGGCTGAATTGTGATAGAAACAATAGCTGAGCTGTTTCTCCATGGCAATTCTAATTTGCCGTGGAGAAACAATGCTATTAATCTTCTATGAGGAACTAATTTTTAAAAATTGTGAATTATTTCCTACTCGCCTTTGGGAAAAATTTCACACAATCATCTGTGTTCCGCTCCTAATAAGGCTCTGAGAGACAACCGCAAGCTGTTAACAGTTCCCAGATGTGCTTCACAGAGAAAAATCCCCCCCCCCCCGCCCCACGACAAAGAGTGTAAACAGCTGTTTGCGGCTGGGATCATCAGGCAGGTCCCCCGAGCAAGCACGGCCATGGGTTTCCAGTGGGAAGAAAATCGGGGCGTGGTGTGAATTTGAATATCTATCTGCGCTCCAAGCTCCTAGGGAGAGGAAAGCTCAAGGAAATAGCTTGAAATTCATGCTGCGGATAAAGATCCACTTAAAACAAAACCATCCCTAGAACTGGCTGCTTTCTAACACTGCCAGCCGACATTCCTTATCGTGATGTTCAATTAGCATCTGCTTGACGTGCCCCGTGTACCAATGCGCACTCAGCGATGTTCTCTTGGAAGAGCATCGCCAATCAACGCAATGCCACCTCTCTCAATGCTTCTGCCCTCCGTTATTACCTCCTTGTCCTTCGATTCAGCATCCTGTTCATCTATGCAAATACGTTATGTATTAAAGATGACTATGGGATTTGGGGCATCTGGAAAGATGAACAAGTCAATAAGCGTGGTTTACCAAACAAACTGACCGGTGGCATGTTGTTTAAAGCAGTGACTCCTGAAGAAACAGGTTTGGGCAGAGGCAACTGTAAAGAGCCAATGACATAGCAGCCCATGAATGAATAACCAGCTCGCTTATGATGCTGGAAAAAGTATGTTTCATCTGGACACCCCATTGTTGTCCGGAATGCTCAAAGCTTAGCTAAATTGGCCTGAAAACTGCCGTCGATCCGTTTCATCAGAGGCTATTTGAACTTGCACGCCGTGACACTGGTGCTCCGGGATTCTGGCCTGTGGTTCTGTCGCACGAATCAACCGTCGTGCACATTATTTTCTGTGGACGTGGGGAAGATACAAGAGGCTGAATTCATCCCTCTCAGCCCCACCCTCAGACCAGCCCCACCCACAACATTCACCTCCGTTATACTTTCCTAGGAGTGGGACCCAAGGGTCCACATGGACCGGCCCGACGCCCCCCAGAAGTGATCTATGGGAGGGTTCTCCGGGCCCTGAGCCCACGACTTCCTAGTGAACCCTTCTGTAGTCTTCCTTTGCAAAACCATCTCCTGGCCAGGTGACTAGCAATTACGTACTATTTACATAAAATATGCAAAATAAGAAAAATGAAGTTCAGAAAGGAAGCCAACTTTTTGGAAAGCTATAAATGCAAACAAAGCTCATGACAATTTCTCCTCAAACAATGTAATTAATCTTGAAAGAGTTCTGGTTTCTTTGATCAGAAATCACTAAGCTTCAAAAGTTAAGTTTTGATGAAGAAAATCTAGAAGTAATCTAGCTAGAAAACTTGAACTCAAAATGGACACAGTCCCTGCTAGAATACAAACACATACATTCACATAATATTCTTTATATTAACATACAGAGAATCAGCCAAGAACACTGATTAACACATGGTCTGCAAAGATACTTTGAGCACTCTAATCAGAGATGCCGTAGTCCCTAATCTCAAATAATTTGTAATATGAGAGTCTGAACCACAGCAAACAGATGCAGGTGTTAAGGGACTGGAAGGTATAAACTTCCAAGTTGTAAGAGTTTGAGAAATTCAAGGTGTCTGATGGTTCAATGGCCAGGAAGCAGCGGGGAGGCAATGTGGGAAAATCTTAAAATGGTGCGATCTGGAGGGAACCCTGAGGAGGAGAGGAGGTAACCGTGGAAAAGACTGGTAGGCTGGTGAAGAAAAGGAGAAAATAGAAAAGTGTGAGTGGCCATCAAGGTGTGACAAACCCAAGCTGATACTTCCAATCAGACCAAATCCTCTCCCCCATCGGTGCCCATCCACGGTGGGCAGCGGGCCGTGGCCCACCAGCAAGGCGGTTCGCCAGCTGGGGCCTGCATCGGCCCAGAGGAAGGGGCACCTTTCCCTGATTCGTCTGCCCAGAGGAGGAGCCATGTGAGGCTTTGTCTGCCTGGCGTGGGCTCCTTTTTGCAGCCCGAGGACCCCGTGTGTGATGCCGGCAGCCTCGCCCGAGAGTTCAATCCTTCCTGTGCAGCCAACCAACTCCTGGCTCTTGGCCCCCGCTGGAATTCCTCTTTTTCATTCTACACTCGACTCTCTGACTTTCCCTTCCTTGGACGTTCTTTTGCCATCTTTGGTCAAGGACTGATAGTAGCTTTCATGGCCCTTAAAGGAGGTGCTAGATTTCAACAAGTTATCACTTAATCGGGCCTACCACCTCCTGTGCTAACCCAGAGCTCAGACTCTCCACACCTGCCCAGCCAGCGATTGCAGCCGCCCACACGCAACTTCCTCGGCCGCTCGCTTCCTTCGAGCTGTTCCCCGCCTCTGCGCTCTCTCTTTCCTCTGCTCTGGCATCCGTGTCTCCTGCAGAACCCGACGGGTCAGCTCAGCGGCCGAGTCAGCGGAAGACGGCAGAAGGACACGAGGAACTACACTTCTCGGCAGGGCCCCAAGGCCATCTGTCCCCAACCAAGCTCCCCCAGAAACACTCCGAGAATGCTGTTTGGGTATCTTTGATCCTCCTCCTTTTTATCATCAACAAGCTCAGCTAAAACAATAGCAGTTTGAGCATCATGTAAGTTACTATGGAAAGGCTTCACAAATGCTTTGGATGGAAACTAAAATACTCTTGTCATGATTAATGACATTCCAAAGAATGTGAAGGGCCAAGAACAACTTTGGTCCCTGTCGGGACACAGCCAGTTTCCCCTGTTTCTTGCCCCTAAGCTCCAGACAAATTCCAAGTGCAGAAAGGCCAGTCCGGAACCGTTTCATACCACTCCTCGGAGTCTGAGTGCCGAGAACAGGAAACAAGTAGTTCTACCCGTTGCTACCCCTTTAGCAAAGAGAGCCAATAGTACATTCTAGTTCATGCATGTTTCCACCACTTTCTCTCTCTCTATTCAAAACAGGTCTGGATAAATGACATGTGGGTTGACACCGTGTCACCTTTTGGGTGATCTTGGAGTGCCTAGTCCTCGCTGGAGATGAACACAGGCAGACACATGCCAGGGGAGGAGCCCCTGCATGGGATTGGACTCGGAGGGTCCAGCCAGTCTCTTTGGGATCCCATGAAAGGAGAGGACGGGAGGTAGCCAAAGAATGCTCAGTCATCTGTGAACTCTGTGGCACACTCGTCTTCCCCTTGACAGCCGAAACAAATCAGACCTGCCCCACGCTGACACCTGTCTCTCTGCTTTCATCTGTACATGGATGTGTGACCCGACAGCCCCAAGCTTTGCAACCAGCAAATCGCACCACAGAAAAGGCAAGTGATCTTGTTTCATTTTCCATGCGAGTTTCTATACTCAACATGTACTTCTGACTATTTTGAAAAGAGTTAAACCAAAACAAACAGCCAACAGCCGTCATCTCCTGTCAGTGGGCCCAGCTGACGTCCTTCCGAGCTGCCCACGGCATCTCAAAAGGCCATCCTGTGGGCGTTCCAAACACGGGAACACCGGCAGTGCCGGCCGCTACGTGTGGCCACTCGCGGTTCAGCGCTGTTGACAGCTTGTGTGCCAAGACAAGGAATAGTTATGTGCGAGACACTCAGTCATGCTTGAACAAGAGAAAGACGTTTTCTGAATTAGTAGGAGTTAAATAACTATACCTCCTAAAAAACCTATTACCCTCATTTTATCTATGATTTAAGATACTTATGCCCTGGCTGGCGTAGCTCAGTGGACTGAGCTCGGGCTGCGAACCAAAGTGTCGTAGGTTCGATTCCCAGTCAGGGCACATGCCTGGGTTGCAGGCCACGGCCCCCAGCAACCGCACATTGATGTTTCTCTCTCTCTCTATCTCCCTCCCTTCCCTCTCTAAAAATAAATAAAAAAATAAAATCTTTAAAAAAAGATACTTATAATCACTTTTTGAACATACAATGGACAAGATCTTACTTCATATGTGTTTGAAAATGGTTCTTCAAGATATTTTTCTGAACAGAACTTTTTCTGGCCTTGGTCTCAGAGAGAAGGTTAGTGACTATTTTTAGTCTTGTGTGTGTGTTGGGGGTGGGGGGCAGGTTTAAAAAACACTTCTCTACCACAAGGTTATTTTGAGCTAAGAAATATTTGCTATATATGTCTGAAGCGAAGAATCTCAATTAATTTTCTCCCCCAAATAGTCTGTCAACTCTCTTTTGCGTCAAATTCTAAAAAGAACGCACGTCTTACCCATGGCTCCCACTGGCATTAAGAGGAGCAAGGAGCGCTTGATGTGGCCGGAGGCGACCATGCACGCAGAGGGCTGCCCCCTGCACGTGCCCTCCTGAGCCCACGTGGCTGCTGCGGCTGCCCTGGGCAGGGGGGCCACCATGTGCTCAAAACCATTTGTCCCTCGTCCATCCTCGGGCAGCAGAAAACACCCAGTGCAGCGCAGGCCGGCCACGGTGGGGGGGACAGCCAAATCCCTGGAAGCTGTACAAGTCTACACACAGCAGAGGCACCTGGGCTGGAAGGAAGGAAAGGAAAAAGGAAGGAAGGAAGGAAGGAAAGAAGGAAGGAAGGGGGAAGGAAGGAAGGAAGGAAGGAAGGAAGGAAGGAAGGGGGGAAGGAAGGAAGGAAGGAAGGGGGAAGGAAGGAAGGAAGGAAGGGGGAAGGAAGGAAGGAAGGAAGAGGGAAGGAAGGAAAGGAAAAAGGAAGGAAGGAAGGGGGAAGGAAGGAAGGAAGGAAGGGAGGAAGGGAGGAAGGAAGAGGGAAGGAAGGAAAAGGGAAGGAAGGAAGGAAGAGGGAAGGAAGGAAGGAAGGAAGGAAGGAAGGAAGGAAGGAAGGAAGGAAGGAAGGAAGGAAGGAAAAGGGAAGGAAGGAAGGAAAAGGGGAGGGAGGAAGGAAAAGGGGAGGGAGGGAGGGAGGATAAAGGAGAATTTCTGTCACCAATAAAAGCAGAGCCCAGCCGAGAGCACCTGGGACGGCCTCCCTCCCCCGCGGCGGGAGCACAGGCCTCCACCCAGACTCCAGAGGCCGATCTCTCCGTGCCTGCGCTTCCACGAGCGAGTGGAGAAGCCCTTTTCCTCACTGCCCCGAGGGTGATGCAGGGCCCGCAGCCCACACAGCCTAGGGCTTCCTTAGGGCACAGGAGACGCATCCCTAACACCAAATTAGCACTGGGCCTCGGAGGGGTGGCTGGGGGCAGAGCCCTCAAGTTCAGCTCCGACAGCCTCGAGGCCCCCAGCTTCTGGCCCCACAGCGGAAAACAACCAAGGGACTCGCAGCTCGGTCGTGGCAAAGCAGCAACCACAGTAGCAACACTTACTCAGTTGCTCCAGAACGGATTCAGTCAACACCAGTCTGACACCCCCTTGTTATTGCTGAGGCTGTAGGAGGCTCATGAAACCGAGTCGCCACGCCCCAAAAGATTTTTTTTCCCAAAAAGTTTTCATGTAACTGCAAATTAGGAATTAAACAGTTGAATCTTATAGCCCGGTGATACCATGTATTTTTTCAGACTCACTGCATTATTTTTTTTTTCGTTTGAGGATGGTGGGGCAGATCAAGAAAATGGGAAAGATCTATCCTTGTTAAATTTGTGATTGATGGATCAGCAAGATGAAGAAATACTAAAGACCGCCATTCAGTAACTGAAAACTTATCTAAATCCAATCCTTAAGAAACATTCTGAACAATAAAACCCTGGCAAAGACAAGAGAAGCCAGCCACGGTGGTTGGCCTTTTCTGCGTTGACACGCGAAGGCCTCCCCGCCACATACTCACCGTCGGTCACGGTCAGCCTGAACACGAAGGTCTCGTTCTCCCCCGTGTCGGCCTGGAAGCGGCAGCGGTACAGCCCGGAGTCGGAGGCCGTGACATTGAGCAGGACGACGGTGCTGCTCCTCGTCCCCTGGCCACAGGTGCTCAGCATGTGCCTGCGGTACTGTGAGGTGTTGCCTTTGCCCTGGGACAAGTTGCACCGAGTTAAGAGGTCGATCTGACGAGGCTGGATCTTCTCCCACGTGACTAGTTGCATGGAGCCGTTCCCTTGAAGCTCATAGGTGAGGGTGACGTTTTTTCCAGTTTCTGAGACCACCTGGCTATTTGGGGACACGGCTGTCTCAAAACGGTCTGGAAAGGAGGAGAAATGGATTATACTTGGGTCCTCGGATTTTTAGGTGCGAAGGTAGAAGCTACTCAGACGATTTTGCTGAAATGATTGATGATGTTAGTTAACAGCTTATGATATCTCTACGCTGCCTCCCTGCACGCAAGGGGCTTTCTGAAAGGCCATGTTCACACGTGTGCCCTTAAGTTTTTCTTAGTTAACCAAGTAACGAGAAATACCCTCAGACCCTCTGGTAACGTTTCTTGGTAGCGATCACATCAGGAGGCTGAACCGCACAACCCTGGCTGCCGTCCTGCCGGGCTGCCGACTCCCACGCCGATGCTGGGCGTCAGCTGTCTAGACTGTCGTTACGCTAACTGAGATGTTATTGTTCGTGAAAGAGACACCAGGTCATCTTCCTTGACTTCACACATAAACTCAGTTTTCCGGCGCGTGGGCTGTCTTAGGCAGCGGTAAAGGAGGGACCCCATGTTCTGTCAATTGCTGGGTACCACGGCGGTCCTCCAGGACCCCCCCACCTTCCTCCTGCCACAGCTGGAACTCCCAGCACACAGCGCTCTGCGCCGCGTCCCTGGAGACCTCAGTCAGCAGCTCTCACAGTGTGCTCAGAGGACCCCAAGGGTCCCTGTGTCCCTCTTTGACACCTGCGAGATCAGACTGGTTTTAACACTCACGTTAAAATGTAATTTACCTTTTTAACTCTTCGTCTATATGAATATATATTCTTAGGAATTCACTCTTATCCTATAAAAATATACAGTCGATATTTTCAGAGTCTCAATGACCATTGGGGTATGTGCTTATAGAATCTTGTCTTTTAAATTTTGCTCAGTTTTCATTTTGAATGCAGTCAGTATTGATAGTTATAACCCACATCAACAAAAGCCCTTCGGCATCTTCAATCATTTTTTTAAGAGAAAAAAGGGGAAAACAATCCTAAAATTCATAGAGAACCACGAAAGACCACAAATAGCCAAAACAACCTTGAAAAGGAACACAACTGGAGGTGTCCCACTTCTTGATTTCCAACTAAACTACAAAGCTACAATAACTAAAACTATGGTGCTGGAAAAGGGATGGAACCACAAAGCAATGGAAGAGACTAGAAAGCCCAGAAATAAATCCACAGGCATCTAGTCAACCGACCTTCAACAAGAGTGCCAAGAGCACACGATAGGCAAAGGACTGTCATCTCTTCAGCAAGTGCTCTTGGAAAGGCTGGGCGTACACAAGGTCAACGAATAACATGAGACCCTCTTCTTTTTCTTTTTTTTATTTTAACCATTGTTCAAGTACAGTTTTCTGTCCTTTACTCCCATTCCAGCGCACCCACCCATCCCTCCCCACCCCCCTCCCATTTCCAGCCCTCCTAGTTTTTGTCCATGTGTCCTTTATACTTGTTCCTGTGAACCCTTCCCATTCTCCCCTGAAACTCCCTCCCCTCGCCCCTCTGGTCACTGTCAGCTTGTCCTCTCTCTCAGTGACAGACCCTTTTCTTCCACCATGCATAAAAATCAGCTCAAAGGGAATAAAGACATAAATGTAAGACCTGCACTATAACACTCCCAGAAGAAAACATAGAATACATTTTCCTGACATTGGCCTTGGCAGTGATCTCTTGAATGTGACACCAAAAGCACGGGGAACAAAAGGAACAGTAGACCAGCAGGACGCCATCAGGCTGCAATGCTTCTGCAAGGCCAAGGACACAGTCAACAGAGAGAACCCGCACGAGGGGAGACAAGCTTTGCAAACTATCCATCTGACAAGGGTTAGTTTCCAAACTACTTAAGGAATTCCTACAACTCAACAGCAAAAGACCAAACAAAATAAAAACCATGATTATCTAGCTTTAAAAATGAGCTAACAGCCCTGGCTGGCGTAGCTCAGTGGATTCAGCTCGGGCTGCGAACCAAAGTGTCGCAGGTTCGATTCCCAGTCAGGGCACATGCCTGGGTTGCAGGCCACGGCCCCCAGCAACCGCACATTGATGCTTCTCTCTCTCTATCTCCCTCCCTTCCCTCTCTAAAAAAAAAAAAATAATAAAATCTTTTTTAAAAAAATGAGCTAACAACTTGAACGGACATTTCTCGGAAGAAGGCAGACCAATGGCCGACAGGTGTACGAAAAGACGCTCAGTGTCACTGGTCACCAGGGAGACGTGAGTCCAAACCACACTGTGATACGGCCTCGCACCTGATCGGGAGAATAGCCCTCAGGACCAGCTCTCGAGGGCCCAGAGCAGAAACGTCACTCTGTTTGGTCTGACCGCTTTGCTGCTGCTGACAGGGAATTCTGACCCACACTGTCAAGGTGGAAGGGCTGTCATGGTGTCACAGAGCACGGGGACACTAGCCAAAAAGTGCAGAAATGTGCAAGACCATCTGGCCTGGGACCCCCGTTCTTAACTCCCAACGGGACAGCAGAGGAGAGAAGAGAGGGCAGGAGAGGGGCCCGGAGCGGGGGGACGGACGAGGAGCCGCCCCAGCGAAAGCAAGCAGAGGGCGGGGGGAAGCACAGCAGGGCTCGCCGTCTCCATTCCACTCGAGTGCTGTCGAGGACGGTTCCCTCTCCACAGAGACGGCTCCTTTCCTTCAGAAAACGGCTGCACGCGTCAGAAGCGTGGGGAGAGGGGAAGCTGCAGCCGTCCAGGGCTCGCTCTGTCACCGGGCGAGCGTGCACCAAAGCTCACGCTGCGCCCACAGAGCAAGCGCACGGGAAACAGTTCGTCTCTGAGTCGTGAGCCCGCCCACGAGCGAGGGAAGGGGGAAAATCCCTCAGCGAGGAAAAAGACAAGAAAATAGAAGCTTAAAGGAAAACAAATGAGAAAGTGGAATAAACTTAAGACAGGGAAAAGGAGGCGTGAGACAGTGAGAATGAGGGGCAATATAAACAAAAGGCTACAGCAGACAATGTCACACGGTGTCGGGGAAATGGAAGGACGGGAAAGAGATGATGACAAGGAGGAGAAGCACAGCTTTCCCTGGGAGCCAGAGGCAGGCTCGCCTGGCCTCGCCGCAGGTCCGATGTTGACGTCCGGCCTGGCACCCCTGCTCATCTGCCCAGTGGCAGCCACCCTCCTCCAATCTCAGGAACTGTCTTTATCTGCTCATCTAGCCAACGCCCACTCTCAAGAAACAGCCCACACACTGCCGACCAGGGTGTGAAGTGCAGTTCTCTCTTAGGGGCGTCTGTGTTTGCCCAAAGGACAAACCCACCAGGACAGCTGATGCAACCAGTGAATGAACACATAAGTGTAAAAATAAATTGATGTGTGTTTCTCTCTCTCTCTCTTAAAATCAATAAATAAAAATGAAAGAAAAGAAAGACGAGGTCACACTAAAGTAGGGTGGGCCCTACGCCAGCACCCAGGGCTGGTGTCCTCATAGAAAGGGGACATGGGGACGCAGACATGCACGCAGGGACAACACCCTGTGAACGTGAAGGCAGAGATCAAGGTCAAGCATCCACAAGCCAAGGGCTGCCGGCGATGGCCAGAAGCCACCAGGAGCTGGGAGAGCCCCGGCACACACTGCCCTCACAGTCGCGGCAGCCACCCCGCCAACACCAGACCACAGACTTCCAGCCTCCAGAACCGTGAGAGAGCCCAGCTCTGCTGGGGAGGCCCGGGGCCGGGCTCCTGCTACGGCAGCCGGAGCACACGGACACACGGTGAGGACCTCACTGGGGCAACCTGGATTTTGTCAGCGCCCCCGGTTAGGGAGATGGGTCCTCTTCTCCACGCCCCTCCCCAGGTAGGGCCACTCTCTGTCCTTCACTCAAAGCACAGATACAAGGGAAAGGAACCAAAGGAGATAAAAACGAGCTGAAGGATTGCCTGACGGTGCAGCACAGATAAGGGAGGAGGAACAGAGCTGCTGAAAGAGATAACGCCGCCGCCTGACAAAGCGTCCTTTGTCTAAAGGGAAGACATAACTAGAATCAGGCAAGCGTGGCCTGAGGGCGGATCAGAGCTTCGGCCCAGACCAAACACACTCAGAGGCCTGCAGCTCGTCCAAAATGCACGGTTCCCCATAGGAACACCAAAGAGCTAAAGACTCGTGACCCAGGCCTGGGATGGCCTGTGATTCAAAGCTCCTGGGGCGGCTACAGATGGGGCCCAAGATCCCACGCTGCCCCTGGCTGCCTCGGAGAGGCCCCCAGAGCTGGAGAGTGTGTCCCAAGGGCTAGCCAGCGATGCACACGCTGTACCTTTTGCTTATGGGTTTTACTTATTAAAAAATCAGCTTTTATCGCTCTGTTACGGTACAGTGAGGGAGAACAATGCTTTCCACTTAAGTCAGTATCACGAGCCTGGCCGAAATCCATGAAAAAGTCTTCACTTTTGGGCAACAGTACACTTTCTCCGGCCAGGAAACGAAATGACTCATGGGACCTGAGGAGTTTAAACAGCACAGTTCCTCGGTCTGTAAACCAGAAGATGGCCACACAGCCCCAGGGCTGGCCGCATTCTGTGGGCGTGTTGCCTCCCAGGCTTGGAATTTCTGGCCGGCTTTCTGCACGGCAGAGTTGCACAGAAAGAGAATCAAAAGGTGAACACCGACGCCAATCATCCCCTGCTAGAAAACAGACTGTGTGAGTGCGTATCGCCGGAGACGATGTTGAGCATTTCGTCTGAAACACATTTAACACTGTCAGCATATTTCAAGGGCAAAATAATCTGCCTTGAGCTCGTCCTTACTATGCGCCAGCACCAAATGCGTTTCACGTGCCGACACACTGAGCCTTCACGACATCCCGGAGAGCGGTCGCCCAGCTGGTGGTGGCCCAGGAGGGAGCCGCACCGGGCAGGAGGCCCAGGGCCACCATCCTCGTCCCTGGGAAGGGGTGCCAGGGGACACGGAGAATTTTCCCTCCCACCCTGCAGCTTGGCTGCCTTTCCTGGAGGACAAATAGTGTCCCGGGAAGCCCCCTGTTCCTGAATATCTCATTTGATGATACAGCCTCAAATCCTGTCATTAGAAATCAGTGTCTTTACTTG